TCCTAAATGGTTGTCTAAATTGTTCTCTCTGTGACAGTTTTTAATCTATCTGAAAAAAAGTACAATAGTTCTATCTCCTCGTATGCTTGTCGGTTTTAATATTACCAGGCTTTTATTTCTGTTTATCTGATAGCACCATAGAAAATTCTTTTACCTCAATTTCCTCTGATAACTGTGGACATTGATGTTTTATATGTCACTGACCATTTCTTTATCTTTCAATTGGTTTTTATATGCTCATCTGTTTGTATTCTGGATGATTTATTTTTTGTATTTGCAACAATTCTTTATCCTTAATTAGTATTTTCTTGGTCATATATTTTAAAAACACATCCTTTAATGTCTTGTTTTTAATTTAGTGGTAGAATAGACATACAGTTTAAAAATGAACTTTCTATTATAAATAATATTTCTAACTATCAAATAACTTTAAAGGTAAAATCTATCTAATTTTCTATGTTAAATTATTTTTTTTTGTGGTACCAGGTATTGAACTCAGGACCCTGCGCTTGCCAGGGAAGCACTTATTCTACTGAGCTATTTCCCTGGGCCCTTAAATTATGTTTGATAGTATATCTTTTCATCAAATATTTAAAAAGGATTTTTAAATATACCACTTCTAATGATATGTAACTTTCTTAATAAATATTTAATTTCTGCTGTGGATGTGTTTGATCTTTATATTAGTTTTTATTAGACTTTTGTTGTTGCTGCAAGAAAATACCAGAAACCTGTTGACAAATATTTATGCTCTTACAATCCTGGAGGTCCCAAGATCAAGTCAGATTGGCTAGTATAAAACCCAGGACACAGGAAGTCTATTTTCTTCTCATAAATGGCTGTAGGAATGATATATTTTCTTGCCTTTTCAGGTTTTAGAGACTTTCCCCATTTCCACACCACTTCACTTTTTACATTCTAATATCTCACTCTTCTAAAGACACTTGCGATTAGTTTAGGCCAGTGATGGCAAACCTACAGACATGGAGTACCCAAGCTGCATCCCAAAACACTTATCACAAAGTGCCAACACTACAATGGAACTTGAATGCTGGAGCTTTAATTTAGAAAATGACAACAACAACAACACTCACATTGACATCTTTTGCTATAAAAGAAAAACAAATAACATGTGAGCTATCGCTTTGCCACCACTGGTTCAGGCCTACTTGGATAATCAAGAATGAACTTTACACCACAAGATTTTATATCAAGCCACTGGCAAGGTCCTTTTTCCCAAAAGCTATTTTGTGGCACTATGTCCCCTCAAACTCATATATTGAAGTCCTAATATATTGAACATGGTTTTCTATAGAAAAAGGGTTGTCACAGATGTAGTTAGTTAAGATTAAGTCATGCTAGAGTAGGTTTGGTTTCTAGTCCTACATGATAGGGTGTATGTGTCCTTATAAAATAATGTTTTTTTTTTAATTTTTAAAGAAAAGAAGACAGAAAGGGGAGACTCCCAGAGAAGGCATGGAGTGAAAGAACTGTCTCTATACGTCAGAGTAACATAGCTGGAAGAGAGATTGAAATACACCTTCTTCAGGTTCTTATAGGACTAGAGTTGCCAATACTTTGATTTCAGATGGTTGGCTTGTGAGAAAGTAACTGTCTATTTTTCTTTTATCCCCCCATAATTTTATTGAGAAACAAATAGCAATGAGACAGTTTCAAATCAAATTGGTAGGACAGTTTCAATAATTAACACATTGCATATTGTCTTCCTAGTGGTTATTTGCTGTACAAGATGCAGACATGATAACCTATTTACAAACACTATTAGAACAAATCCCTCTACTCATTAAGAGAATGTAACTATATATCTATCCTAATCATTTTGAATACACAGATACAAAATGGACATTCATCTGTATCTCCTTTTTGTTTAGTTCTGCCATTTGAATATTATAGGTGTCTTAACTCAGCAAAATATTTTAAGAGTCCAATAGTCCATAATAGTATTGGGTCTTTCACTTGACTGGCAGTGTCAGACATTGTTGACCTGAGTCCCCCACAGCTCAACATAACAGCATGGCTTTACTTCTTATACTTCGTTTTTATACTTTTCTGCTGGATGGTTAAGACCAAGGTAAAGCAGGACCTATGCAACAAGAGTTGTAGCTTTTGGGTCTGATAAGGTGAGTGAAATCCCCTGAGGATTTATCCTGAGATCCTGTACCTCAGATTGTAGATCCTTTGTCAGTGTCAGCCATGTGGATGAATCACGGCCATTGCTTGGCCAATGTGCTCTCTGTGAAAGCTTGAGAGAATGTTTACTCTCAACATTGAGATATCATCTCATCCCAGAAAGAATAGCTATCATAAAGATATCAACCAACAACAATCGTCTATTTTTCTTAGTCAGTCCACGTTTGGTTGATTGTTACAGCAGCCCTAGGAAGTGAATGCACCATGGAAGGTGCCATGTCATATATCAGAACTATGATGTCATTTTAGGAGCCATGAGCTACCATCTTGTTTAACTATTTTCCTTTAACTATTATCAGCCTTACAAATATATTTATTAATTAAAAGCTCAACATTGGGCTTCTCTTTTTGTTGCTTTCTTTCCTTTTAGGTTGATTTCTGTACTTACCTGTATTTTTATGAAAGCATAAGTTACAGTAAAATAAATGACAATAAATATAGAATTAGAGCAGGCTTGAAAACTTCAGATTTGTAAACACTTTCCTATAGATCGAATGCATCCTTCCTTCATTGTATCACCATCCCGATGCCCCCACCACACAGCTCCCAAGCCACTTCTGCAGCGCCTCTGCTGACTTGCTTCACTATGCATTAGATTGTCTACTTCATTTTAAATAAATGGAAGCAAGTAGCGTGTACCTGGCAAATTTGCCAGGCATAAATTGCCTGCCATTTATTTGTGTTATACATGTCAGTAGTTCAATTCCTATTTTATCTGATTAATGTCCCATTGAATGTATGTGGTCCAACTGATTTAATCTGTGGTTTGGGGCATTTTCTCTGTTTTTTCTTCTATTATGAATAAAGATCTTACAAACCTTATATGTTATTTTCATGGACATATAGTTTCATGTTTCTTTGGTAAATGAATATAAGTGCAGTCATTGAGTCATGGAAGAGGGGTGTCTTTTTTTAAGAATGTGTTAGAGTGATTACACACTTCACACTACAGTCAGCAATGTTTGAAAGTCAAGTTGTTTCCCAGGCATTGCTTTTATTTGGAAATTATTTTAGACTTACATAGAAGTTACAAAAATAAGGCAAAGCTCCTTCAGCACACTGAGTTTTCTCCACAGATAATATGTTACATTAGTCTATGTATATATCATTGTCTCTATGTACGATTATTAAAACTAGGATAGTGATGAAATATTGCTCCAATACTGATGTATTAATACTCCTATATAAGGCTGTTGATTAAAGTCCAGACATTACCTTGACTCATAAGTTTTTACACACACTCCAGGGTGTGTGAGTGTGTATCTGAATATAATCACTTTAAAATCTCTCACATGTACAGTTATGCGTAACCACCACTGCAGTCATGACAGCGGACTGCCCCATCACCCACAACCCCTTCACCTGCACGTCCTCTCACCTGACAATCCCTGTCTCAGCCGACCTTTCCACATTCCCATAATGTTGCTTATGTGAGTACGCTGTGCAGCAGGATCATACGCCACGTCATCATTGAAGTTGGCTTATTTCACTCAGTACATACCTTTGCGATCCATCCAAATTGTTTCTGTCACAGTCCGCTCGTCCAATTGCTGACTTCCTTTCCATTGCAGGAGTGCACTATGTACCTCAATCAATTCACTAAATGAAGCATAGAGTTTTAAAATAAATCCTCTGTGTTTTCTATCACCAGCAGAACCCATCTTATTAAACTGTAGTGTTGCATTATAGCAAAATACCTTGATTTGTCCCTCTATTTATCAGGTAGTGGACATTTGGGTTACTTCCAGCTTGTAGTGTGGGGTGATTATGGATAGGACTGCTATAAACAAATGTTCTTGTATAAAAATGTGCTTTCTTTTCTCTTGGACAAATATTTTCAAATGGAATTTCTTGTCATATGGTAAGGTTACCTCATGAGGAACTGCCCAAGGACTTTCAGCTGAGGATGCACCACTTAGCCTCCTGTCAGTAGTGTGTAAAAGTCCCGTTTGTCCTACAATAGACTGGGTGTCTTATCAAAATCTCAAATACTTTAATTGTCAGGCAGTGTTGTCATTGATGAAGCTAAGTTAATAACTTTTCCTATATTACCACACTAGTTCAACTTGTGCACTCACCGTGCCCCTATCTATACAAAAGAAAGCTAGTGTGCTTCTCTCTCAGCCTGAGCCTCCAGCAGGGCTCTTCACGAGCCCCACACGCAGGTTTGTGCACAGGCTGCAGGGGCCTGGAGGGCGCTGTGTGCTTGCGGCGCAGAAGTAGGCGGCCGAGTCTGTGGGCTGCATCGTCCTGATGAGCAAGGAGAGCTCTTTGGCGCCTTTGCTGAAGTAAACTGTGAATCTTCCGGCATCCTTTTTATTCATAGTTTCACGAATGGCTACCAGAAATTCAGGGCCTTTTCCTGGGAACTGCCGATACCATGGGAAGTAGTCAAATGCGCTGTTTTCATACGTACAGTTCAGAACTGAAATCTCTCCTTCCTGCACTGTGAGAGAGGGAGGATTTTGTTTCACCTGCTGCTGGTCACCTTTCTCCTTCTGCTGGCCACTCACCCCTGCTTAGAAAGATAAAAAAATTCGTCAGGCTATGAGCTTTGTTTCTCTTCCTTGAAGTTTCAATGTCTATGATTTTGTCTGTTCTCCAAGGTTCTCACCCCCCCAATTTCATGATATATCCTGGAGTTTCTCCTCCGCCACTCACAGGCCAGATGAAGTCCTAGAATTAAGAA